GTGCTCTTAATCTCTGTAAAATCATTTCATACTGTGCAGATCTGTTTGGGTGTATTTGTCATCTGTCCTTAAACTGCTTAATGTATTCAGACTTTACAGGCTCAATTAAGTCTGAAAATTATATACTAATTGTCTAAGCTTTTTTTTTTTTTTTGCAATTACTAAGTGGTTCTAAATTTGTCATTTTACATAATAATAAACCATAATTTTATAGTTGGTGGACAGCTCAATATGCAATTATCTGTTTGCACAACCAATTAAAAGAGTTGTCTTCTCAAGATGTGCCTGAGAAAATCACACTGTTCCATAAAAAGCTGCTATTCTGGTTACAAGTGCTTCTGAATGTTTGCTTTTGATGAAGCTTGCTCCCAGGCACTGAACAATCTGCTAGACATTCAGGGTGTTAAGATATTTTCATTTGTCTAGCTGCAATAAATGTGGAAAAAATTTGGAAAAAACATGTGAAAAGTACGTAAAGATTTTTGCAAGCTAATATTGAGGCCTAAATATTTTTTATCTTTTTTCTTTTTGTCTGGTGGCTAAGAAAGATGAATATCTCTTTAAAGCAAGCATTGACTATCACTGATTAATAACCTAGAAATAGAAAGGCCAAGCAGTATCCTGAAGAAGACCACGGGCATGGGCAATTGAAGAGCAAGAGAGGAGGGTGATAATATTGTATTTGTAGGCTAAATGCACTACAGCTGCCTCTTATTAAAGAGATGATGTTTACTTAGCTTCTGTGATACACCCAGGAGAAGGTCTGCACAGACCTCTTTGCTGTCTCTCAGGTAAGAGGAATGCTCTGAGGAGACCTGGGGGGCGGCAGTCCAGCAGGGATGTGGAAGGGTACTTCCCTGAACATATTCCTACAGTTTCCAGCTTGGTGTTCACCTAAAATGACAACCTTGTATTGCACTGTCTGATTTTTGAACTTTTAATTATCAGGAAGAGCCATTTCTTAACAAATGGTATTTCAACACTTTTCTTAGGGAAGTTTAAGGATGTTTCACTTGTCAGGAATGTACTAACAAACGTGATTTATGATAGCGAAGGTGTGGAGAAGAGAAACAGCTAAAATAAACATTGTCCTTCCTTTGAAGTGGTATAATTTGTTTAAAATTAATGGTTTTGTGGTATTTACAGTTTGTGAAGTGTGGTGTATTCAGGAACCTGGCTGCCTGCTTTAGCCTTTCTACCCTTGTCCAACCACCAGCGTGAAGCTCTCCTGTTGGTTACTGAAATAGCATTTTCTAGAGCGGGCAGTGGTGTCAGCAGTTTGCTTCTGGCTCTGCCCTCTCCCTCTCTACAATGAGCAAGTCTGTATTTTGCAGAAATGCCTAAATTAACTCCGACATGGCAGCCACACAAAGTAACTGCAACGTGTCACAGAAACAACCTGACTGTCTGCAGGTCTTCAGTAGTCTTCAAATTTAGTTACACGAGGGTTTAAGGTGCCCTCATATAACTAAACGTAAACACATTACTGGTAGTGTAGACTAACATAGGGAATAAATGTACCATGGTATCCATCACGTGCTAGCTTTTTTTTTTTTTTAAATTTGCTTGGCAATATCACACAATATCTTTCTGTTTTGGAATTGCATTTGAAAGCACCGAATAAAATCTAAAGTTGTCACTAAAATTGATGGGAATTATCTTTTTGATCCCTTTTATGCACACACACACACACACACACGCACACACGTGTGTGTATGTATCTATATATGCACGTCTGTGTGTGTGTATCTATATATATTTGGAAAGCAAGATACTGCCTTTATAAATCTAAAGTTGTCACTAAAATTGATGGGAATTATCTTTTTGATCCCTTTTATGCACACACACACACACACACGCACACACGTGTGTGTATGTATCTATATATGCACGTCTGTGTGTGTGTGTATCTATGTGTTTATGTGTGTGTGTATATATATATATTTGGAAAGCAAGATAATGCCTTTATTTTCCTACATTTTTCTAATGCTGAATTCTGGAATACATTGGTTTGGGGGCTTTGTTTGTTTTTTTTTTAGTTTTTTGAGGTTTATTTATTTATTTTTTTTAATATGGACAAAATAATTCCTGATAAAGAGCTTTGCAAATGCTTATTTCTCTGAGAAGGGACTCAAAATAGTGCAGGGCAGAGGACTGACCATTAGGATTGTACCATAAATCTGAGGATTTGGGCTTGATATCTTCAGCCTAGTGTGACACAAGGATTCCCTGTGCCACCCATCTGTGCTTTAGTATTTCTGCTTTTAAAACAGGCCTGTATTCTTACAGTTGGCTCTCAGAATTTTAATGAGCTGGAAAATGGGGGAAAATATTAAAGCAGAAATTAAAAAAATACTGAAAGAACAGTAATGCTACTCATAAGACTTGAAGATCTCTTTTCTGTAATGTGTTAAAAATGTCTAATGTGCTAAACTTGATTTTTTTTAATTATTATAAACAAAAATATGTGCACTTAGGATATTAAAAATAAAAAAAGCTCTATCATCGTCCCTTGGGCAGTGCCTGGGTGGCTGAGTGCCAAAGAGACAGCAGTGGGTTTGCTTTCCAGGCTGCACCTTTTGTTCCCCAGACCAGCAGGGAATGGCAGCAATGCGGAAGCAGCAGTTTAGCTCCTGGGCACAAAGGGATCCTTAATGCCAATTAAAAAGCAGGCTTAATGAGTACCAAAAGCAGCCCCCGAGCCAGGCCTCCTTAGCTTTAAAAAAAAAAAAAAGAAAAAAAAAAAAAAAAAAAGGGGAAAGAAAAAAGAAAATCAACTTTACAGCTTGTAGCTGGTGTGTAGTTTTCGTTGAATATCCCCAGATGAACTAGCTCAAATTTTTTTTTCATCCTTCTCTCTCACTCTGCTGAAAGCGAAACCTTATGAAAACACAGGGGAGTAACTGGTGGAACTGCCCCATTTGGAAAGTGGCTTTTAGCTAGCTGGGGGATTGTTTGTGGTCAGCATGTTATTTCTAACTAAAATGGCACTTCATAAAAATAACAAATTGTTGGCAACCATTGCTCTTTGAATTCTATTTCTAGTTCTAGTCTCTATTTCTGTTCCTCTCGGTTGCTTTTCTCCTAACAAATCAAACTTCAGGATTGCAGCAGGAAATTTAGATTTAACCTCAAGAGTCAATGTTTTGTCTCATGTCTGCTCTAATGCGATACAGATGTTGGAACTGCTGTACGTAACTCAAGATTTTATTGAACTAGCCCTCCCTGCCTAATAGAAAACATAGCTAACTGGAGTGCACATTAAACACAGATCACTCTGAAGGCACTAAGCTTGTGAATTTTAGAAATATATTTAGAGAATTCTTGGGATATTGCTTCAACTGCACATCCTTCAGCTGTTTGATACGGAGTTTCTGCCATGGTAAAGAGACAGAGCTCTTGATCTTACTTGTTTTAAATAGCAAAAGCAAGAAGTAAATACGTAAAAAAAATTGCAATATCTGAAATTATTTACAGACTGGATATTCTTTTTGTTCCAGTTCTTTGTTTCATCCTCTTTAAAAGATAACTAGAAAGACTGGTGAAATAGATCATCTATTGCATCCCCTTTTGCTTCTGTTTTCCAACAATTCCGATCTCCACCATTCTTGCTTTTTTTAGTTTTCCTTCCCTTGAGTTGCCACTGTGGCCAGACCGTGTGAAACACTTGGGTATGTCTTTGATGAGGACTGAACAGTAAACAGTGGCTTTTTTCAAGACTCTGCTATGCCATGTTAGCCCCAGTACAGAGTCAGCTGAAATTAGCTCTTTCCTCTATTAATCCTTATTTTTCCTTATTTCTATTAATTATTCCTAATAATGAGATTAAAGTTTGCTACTTTTCTTTACAAACCGTACACTGTGTTTCTTAAATGAGCTTTTTTTTTTTTTAAGGTAAAACCAGAAGGTTTACAGCATCAGAGTGCTTTGCTTGCCTATAACAAAATACAAAATATCTATTAATTTAGTGCACCAAAATCAATCCTCATGCCTTAAAATATAAAAGCTAGGCAGACATATGTTACTCAGAGCAATCTCCAAGCAGCAAAGAGACCAGGGAAAAGCCTTCAACACACAGAAAGCAGGGGAAGAATCTGAACCCAAACCGAAGAGCTCTGCAGGGAAACACAGAGATTAAAGTCTTAAATCTGTTTTCACCCACTTAGGCTGACTGATACTGTGGCTTTTTTGTTTAAACCTCACACTTCCACTTTTTGCCTGAGGTTTTTGACCCTTTGTTGGACCAATGTATTTTGGACATGGGTGTTAAGACAGGTAAGGTACGACTGGGTCTTCAGGCAGCTTGAGGGCAGCTGGGTTGGTGATACCAGCAGCAGCACAGACAGACGCAGCCTTAGCAAAGGGGAATTCCTTGTTCTTTGTTGTTTAAAGCTGAGCAACAGAAAGGTCATAGCTCTCTTAAACAAAAATATTGTAAAAACCCCTTACTCATTCAAATGATGGCAATATCGTGAAAATTCTTTTCAGCTATTGTATCAGCAAAGTGGATCATTAGTTGAACTGTGTATATTGAACTATAAACCTGTTATTTCCCCAGTAATGTGGGCAGCCCTATTCAAGGTTAATTGTTTTCATATTTTCCATTGGTGTTAGACTTGTATTTTTAACTAGGTAACCAAAGAGCAGCTCATGCAATATGGGGTGGTCTTTCTTGGGTCCAGCAGAAGAACTTGTACGACAAATAACTGATCCTACCTACTAGCTATATCAGAATTTTAAAAATCTTCCTGTTCTTGTCATTTATTATGCAAGAAAATATGGATCAGCAACTGTTTCTAGCAGCTAACTTTTGGAAAAATAGGGAAGTTTGGTTTTTGTTGCCTAAAGTCTCCAAATACAGTTCATATCCTGCAATGAGTACAAGAATACCGAGTCATTTTTAAAATAGCACACTAGCACTGTTATTATATGAGAAAACTCTGAGATCATCAGTGTACCAGGACTGTATATCATTACATATGAATCTTTTTCTCTTCCAGGCTTCAGTTTATTGCTTTCATTTCCACAGACACTATACAACATTCACAGGTAAGTTAATTAACCATAAATAAGTTCTATCCCTTCCTATTTAATTCTGTATATTTGCTTCCTCACTTGAGAACTAAATGTAATTCTTGGAGCAGCCTAGTTTCTTTCAGCCAGATGCTGTCCTCCTGATAATATAATAAAGGGGTTTTGTGGTCAGTTTTGAGTGTCCAAATGGATACTTTTCCATGTTTATAACTCCTTTCCCCTTCCTTTCACTTGCCATTCTCCAAGCGGTCTCACACTGGTCCTGCACAGTAAACTGATGAAAGCTCTGTAGTTACTGCATTTTATTTGCAGCCAAATGTGATTTGTAACTTCTGCCTGTGCCAGGTAAAGTCCTGTAGCTGATCGTCCTGCACTCCATGAAGTTCTTTGTTGTCTTCCAGATCCTTATGTAAAACTCTTCTCTGTATGAAGTCTGCAGATAATTGCCATCAGATACAGACTAGGCAGGTGGCAAGCTGTGATTACATCTAAGAGTTGGCTTGCTGCACCTAGGAATTCTGTACACGGCAGGTTTATACTCCTGTGGCCTATTTTTATTAATGCTGCCTGCCTTCCTCTAATGTGTGCTAGCTCGTTTCACTCAGCTGTCACATTAGGTCTCTCATGTCCCAAGTGTGCTTGAGGTTGGACTGTCACTGCTTGTCTTCAGGAATTAGTGGAAATTAACATTTAAATTTTGGAGAAGCTACAAGACAATAAGGCATCACTCCCACATAGCCTTTTTCATGTAGCAGTACTCGGTGTGGCTTATGAAAGCACAAATATTCCCAAGTTTGGGGCAGGAAGAAAGGAGAGTTGATGGATTTGGAGCAGGAAAGGCTGATGACCTGCAGAAAAGCTGAGCTTTGGGGCAAGGTGCTGGGAGCAGCAGTGGGAGTGGGCTGGAGACCAGTGGTGCAAGGGACTCTGGTTTAGGGAAGACTGGGAACAGGAGGACAGCACCTTGGGCATGTCAGTCCCTGGCAGTAGCATTTACGCTGCAGAACAATGAGTTTCTGCTTTCTTTTCTCTCATGTTAGGACTTTTGTTTAGTGTTTTCCTTTCCAACAAGGCATGTAACATGGTTTCTCTCAAGCCTTCCAGTGGGTTTATCATTCCTCTGAACAAGAAGAGCACAGTAATTTTAAGCATTCAGTCCTATTTGTTTGAAGGATGCATGAAGAATTTCCAGTCATCTCCCCTCTTTCTTCATCCTGCTGCCTGTTCTCAGTTGTTACTTTATCCAAAGAATATTCTTTTTTTTTGGAACAAGAAAGATATTTATTAGATTTTTGTCTAGATGTTTCTATAAATACAAATGTTCAGAGATTTTAAACAGGACACTTCCCACTACACTTCAAACACAGAATTGCTCTTCTGAACTATTGGTGTGAAGAAATGGTTTTAATGGTGGTGAACTTTAGTAAATTAAACCTTGTACTCCTTTTATAACATCTCATTGAGTTTTGTGTGAGTGAGAAGGACGCAAGATAGATGCAAAAACTATTGGTCTTACAGCTACCTTTTTCCTTGCTGACAGAAAATGCAGTTGTTTACTGCATTTAATAGTAATACCTTTAAAAGACAGCTTAAAATATCCAAGAAAACACAATGCATCATTGATTTTCCCTTTAGACTGTACTTTACCAATGGTACAGGATTGTCTAAGCAGCATCACCTCTAGCCCTAAACAACAGCACTGCCTGCCAGCCACGTGCTTGACACTGTTGTCTCTGAAAATGTGGGGTGTATTGGCTGAAGTAATTTCCTGCCTCATGGTAGAAATTTCATCCTCTAAAAAAAAAAATACACATTTTTTGAATTCACAGCAAGTCTGTGTGTTGCTTATTTGGATGACAGCTACAATAGTGTACTGCTGCTCACGTTTTGTAAGCCTAGAGTTCCATTGCCAGGCAATACTAAGTGGGTGAAGCTGACCAGAAGCTAAGTGAATAAACCAGTATGATTTTACCTCAGAAGTAACGGTTACTTGGGAGTCCTACAATTTGTCATAAAATGTCTGGGTAGCTAGCATATTTGCTAGCTAGTTGTGTTGCAAAATGAATTCTTGGGCTGAGTTCAGGCTAGAGTTGTGAAGAAATAGAGTGGATAAATTTCCTTACTCTGTAAAATAATTGTATTTATTTGCAGAGCACATTTAAAGAAAACACTGAAGAATGATTCTTTATATGAAGGACTCCTACCTCTTGTGTCACCTCTGTTGCTTTTCATTCTTCTTACAATCTGGGTGGTGTTATCTCCAGGCAACATATTAGCGAAGCAACCAAGATTGTTCTTGTGGATGGTTGGGGTTGCTTTCTCAAACGTTATTGTAAGTATGTTTGTGTTTGGTGGTATTACTTAGCGATAGCTGTCTATTTTTATGGGAATAAACAGAAGGGAACAGAAACTGTACCTAAAGCTTAGCAGAATCACACAGCTCTTCTGCCTCTGTGTTACGCTCTGTCTTATCAAAGTACACCACAGCTGGACTAGGGACACTTACAGTACTGCAATACCTACTCTAGCACAGCATACATTTTTATGAGGGTTCTTTTTTTTTTTCTTTTTTTTTCCTGAGAGTTTAGAAGAACCCTAGGGAGACTTTGCTTCCAGAAATATAACAGGTATTCCCCAGCATACAGGCAGAACTGCAGACTTACCTAGGTAAAAGAAAGATCAAATACAGGCACAGAATTTACCAGCAAGAGCAGGAGAGTTGCAGCCTTCCCCTGCTGTTGTGCCTGTCAGTGGGGTACACGCATTCCTGTATCCTACAGTTCAGCTCATCCCATATTTTCTTTTTGCTGTTCAAAATAAGGCTGTACCACTGAAAGCTTTTTTTTTTTTAGGGAAATAGGTGATTAGGCAAAGATGTGAAGAGATGCAAGGGTCTTGTGATGGCTGTCTGGCCATGGATTAGTTTCTCCTGTAGCGCATCACTGTGAGCAATTTCCTCCCTTTAATGCCTATGAGGCAACATAAACCTCGGTTACCTCGGTGAAGTAACAGCATGGGCAGCCAGACAGTAACACTGAGCCCTGTGGTTAACCCAGGGCTTTCTTCTCTGAGTGAGGCCCCTCTTCTTGCCAGGAGAGAGGCAAGGGAGCTGCAGCCAAGTAGAAAGGTGTTCCTTTATTTAATGCTTAAATACCCTAAAGGATAGTGACTGATGTCGTTTTAGGAAAATCGTCTCCAACACCATCTAAAACTGTGTCACTGAGCAGCCCTATGTCCAGTTCAAAAGGTGAAAGGCTTGAAGAGCCTTGTGTTGTGAGAGAGATATTTGAAAAAGCAGGATTTTAAAAAAAGAAAACATAAGCCCTCTAGGAATTTGCATTCAGGAATGGAAAAGAAATTGTAATTGTGGTGTTAGATGTATCTTAAAAATGCAGATTTCTGAGGGCCACAAATCAAAGAGTTCCGTCTTAAGGACTTAATCTCACAAAAGTTGGGTTATTTTCAGTTGTTTCAGAAGTCTTACTGTATGCATTTTTCATCACCTAATCTACCCCTTTCTTCTTAAAACAGAACAGTGTAAATTCCAAAATGAGAAATACAATTATTCCATACCAATCGGGAAAGTGCTTTCAGAGTTTGGCAGATGTCAGGTTCTGCACATTCATCTTGAACAGCCAAGAGCAACTGTGGCAGGATGCTTGCAGAAGTAAAATAGTAAGGCAGACGGGAAGTTTCTTTGCAGACTGCAGTTTATTAGACTTAGAGCGCAATGCATATTCTTCAGGCCTTGTTTTTTCTTGTACCAAAACATCTACTGCAGTGTTAGAGGCTCACATGAATTAAAAATACATGTGTGTTAGTGAAATCTTTAACATTTTAAAAGCAAGCATTAAAAATGTATGGGTGTTAGTTGGAATTTATAACATTTTAAAAATTAAAAGCAAGCCTGGATTTCCTTTCACCTCCTCTAGTCCCTTATCTGAGTAAAGCTTGTCATGGCAATACTTTTCTTTTCCATGATAGTCTGACACATTGGGTTGCTGTTATCTGTTCTGTAGACCACAAACTGCAGCCCATGTTTCTCTACCTGCCAGTATCTTGAACTTTTCATGCCTTTGACAACATATTTAGTTGTCCAGCAGAAACCCCTGGGCTAAACGCCCAGTCTCAAACCTGGCTTTGTAGCCGTGCAATGTCAAGATGAATAGGAAAGATGACGGCCTCCTGGGAGCAGACAGAAAGATGGGCCATTTCCAGCATTTTTGGCTTAACTAGGGGAAAAAAGCAAGGCCTAAAAAAAAGCAACTTGCTTATCTGTGAGAGGAAGATGTCTTTCTCCAGTCCCCAAGGACAGTATGTGACTGCCTATGGGTTGACCACCTCTCTTGTCGAGAAGCTCAGACCTTGCTTTGAGATTTACTTGTAGGGCAAGTCTCAGAAGTATCCAGGTTTGAGCAAATCCCCACAGAGCACAACTGTCAGAGCTCCTGCTTAGGAAGCCCTCAGAGGCACGTGTTTGAGTCCAGGAAGAGGGGGTGGAGAGGGTAAGTCCCGTGGAGGGGACCTTCAGCCATCACCATTAGCAGGAGCACAGTGGCCAACGTGGTGGCCGGCTGATGGGCATGGGCAGCTCAGACACAGAAGATGCTTCATGAGGAACCTCCCAGAGGCGGATGCTCAAACATGCTAAGGACCTACCTGGGGGCACAAACCACAGCTAATAGAGGTTTAAATTCAGCAGGGGCAGGGCAGCATTGCAAAGTGGATCCTGTGGCTGGTTTTGCCTCACTTGTAGTGGGAGTCAGTGCTTCAGGACTAAGGAGGAAAGGGAACTGAGGGAGGAGCGCAGAGCAGAGCCCCTTTTGTAGTCCTATGGTACACCGGAGGTGAATTCCTCAAAATACCAATAAGCAACCTGTATGAAAAATCGAGTACTCTACTTAAATGTGGTGTAATAAGGGCTTAAAACAACGTGAAATCTGACCTATTGGACAGGTGCAATTTTTCAGCCAGAAAAATTTTAGCATTGCTTTAGCAGTTTCTGATACTCTGTGGAATGATTCCCATAAAACTAGTGTTACAACACCAATAATGCATTGGTCAACACCAATAATGCATTGTAAGCAAAAATACTTACATTAGGTACAAATGCTTACTTCTTGCTTTATTGAAAGTTAATTATTTTTTCATGGTTTATTTTTGCATTCTTCAGCTTCCACAGCACAGATAGTAAAGCCAGTATTTTTTTCCCTGTGGTCAGACTACTGCTGCTGTCACAGGATTTCAGACACTGCACAGGGAATGGATTTTTCATTCTTCTGCTATTTTCAGGATACATAAAATCTATTTTTGACTACATTTAAGTTTTAATAGAAACTTTAAAAAAATATCTGTGCCTAAATTCCTTTTTTTTAAAAAAACCCCGAGTATAGTATATATGTGACACAGGTAAAACACTTAGGTGGGCTTAATGGGTTTTAAAAATCTGAACTTCAACTCATCATGTTTTAAGAACTGAGTAAAATTAAGCTTATTGCTTTCAGTTAAATTATACACCACATATTCATTTTTCTGCCATTCTGAGTGGGATCCCTTTCCCTGGGCCTCCAGATACATCTCCAGGGAGTCCACTGCTGTAGTTGAGCCAATATGATGGTGTTTTACTACATGAAGGAGGGCTAGAAAAAAAGCAGGATTTCAAAGTGTCATGACTTACCTTCCCTCCCTTCTATACAGTGAACAAGAATATATTTTTGTTATGCCATGTAATTAAAATAACACTCTCCCAGTGATTAAGTGGTGGCACATTTGATTTGAGATCACAACTTCATGAGCCTGTGTTGAAAGCATAAGGTGTCAAACAAACACCCCTTTTGCAAATATGTTCTTCGGCTTATAAAGCAAAGCATGTCATAGCATCACAGAACCAGAATCGTTTAGGTTGGAAAAGACCTTTAATGATTGAGTCCAACCATTACCTAGTAATGCCAAGTCCACCACTAAACCATGTCCCTGAGCACCACATCTTCATGTCTTTCAAATACCTCTAGGGAACGAATC